GAAACTACCAGCCGCTCCGCGGGAGAAAGATGAGGCTTTCTACTCCCGTAAGGATTTATACCCTCGGAAACCCTGTACAGGGTCGCTATGGGTCGCCTCCGACTCGAAGGCACTTAACAACAACAACAACAATAGTGGGAGCAATATGTCACCATGGGGGAAGGGCTTAGTAAGAGGCATGTCTTAATAGGCAATGGAGTTTGACAGTATTGAAAGTTCTTTGGGAAACCTTTGTGTCTCCCTGTGAAGCCTAGATGAGATTGATAAAATATAAAATTTCCACCAAGTACCTAGTTCATAGGAGTATGAAGCTGTCTCATTCCTTGTTTGTTTATCATTCTAGAGATACTCAACAGTATGATCAAGGCTTAGAGATATGAATGTGTGTGATATATGTAGGAAACAGTGTAAGGCAGGTGTTTCGTGAGATAGAATACTGAAAAATTTAACTTGGAAGGTATTTTGGCAGTGGACTGAATTAACGGTGTCTGGATAATACAGTAGGCTGGGATTTCAATTACATTAGGTGCCCCAACAGTATAAGTAAAAAATACTGCTACAAAATCATACAAACCTTTATTAGACAAAAATACCAAAATGTGAAACTATTGTTTTCCAAAATATCCTCCATCTATTCACTTGTGAAAGGATCTCTGGTAGCGTAGTGGTTACGAGTCAGCTGCTAACCTCAAGATTAGCAGTTCGAAACTACCATCTGTTTGGCTGGAGAAAGATAGGGATTCTGATCCCTTAAAGATTTACAGCCTCAGAAACCCTATGAGTTGTCGGAAACCCTATGTCGCTTTAAGTTGGAACCGACTCCATGGATAACAACCACCAACACTTTTGAAGGAGATGTTTCATCTCTTTAACCCTCCACAAATAATCCTGTGCTCTTCGATTTAATTGTTAACACAGCAGTTTGGGCATCCTTGAGGACATACATTGTGCTCTTTTTAATTGTTTGATTTTAGGGAACAAAAAAGTCTGAAGGGGAAAGATCAGGGCTGTCTGAAATTCTTGTAGAACAGCCCTTACACTTCAAAGAATGAATGAATAGGTTCATGGTCGTGATGGGAAAACATCTTTGGCTCAACTTTTCTGTTTCTGTTTTTTTAAAGTTTTTTGTATAACTTTTTCTCACCGATACAGTTTTCTTAAAATTTCTTCCTAATAAGCCCCTGTGATTGACCTGAGCCCTTTGAGAACATCTATCAAAACAGTGGCCATAACCTTCTAGCTGACATCTCTCCCTGAATTTAACTGACCCAGCAGATCCCCTCCCCTCGGAAACCTCCGTTTTTAGGGACTTTTTTTTTTTTTAAGACATTGTATTGGAGACTTGTTGGAATCTTGGTATGGCACTGTGGGTTAATGTGCCAGACTGAGGAGCCTTTTGAACTCTAAGGTAGGCAGTTCAAGCTCACCAGCTGCTCCTTAGAAACCCTATACAGCGTTGCTATGGGTCAGAATTGACTTAACAGCACTTAACAACAACAAAGGAGACTTGTTATTAAGTGCAGTTGAAACAGTTTCGACTCATAGCGAACCTATATAGCAGCTGGTGGGTTTGAACTGTCGACCTTGTGGTTCAAATTGACCTTTCTCTCCAGTGCGTATCCTACAGCACCACAAGTGTATTCCTGAGAGAACTTTTCTGCAGCCATCTATTGTTTACAGACATGTTTAAACACATTTTGTTTGGACTAAAACCATGCATACATGAACTAGAATGCTAGTATTACTACTTTTTGACCTAACTCTGTATTAAAAGAAAATTCCTCTAAGTTGGACACTTAATAATTAGGAAGAAAGTTGGATATAATAATAGTGGACCATTACTGAACTTTTACTATGAGCTGCTATTTTCAACTACTTTTTTTTTTTTTTTTAACTTGTAACATTTAACAAAAACAGTTCTGAAAAGATGTATAATTAATACTTGAATATTAAAGAGACTCCTTTTTTATTTAGATAGACGTTGTACTTTATTTATTATGGAGCATTTAAAATTGACTAGAGCCCCGGTGTGACGCTGTGGGTTAAGGGGCTGTTTGAACTACAAGGTTGGTGGTTCAAGCTCACCAGCTGCTCCTCGGAAACCCTATACTCACAGGGTCGCTATGGGTCAAAATCGGCTCCACAGCACTAAACAAAAACAAAGTAGAGAGAATAGTATAATAAACCCCTATGTGGTGCTGCAGGATAATGTGCCGGACTACAAGGTCTTTCAAACTGCAGGGTCGGTGGATCAAACTCTCCAGTCACTCCTTGGGAACCCATTACAGGATCGCTATGAGTTGTACCCACTCAAGGGCACTTCACAGTAACAACAGATCCTTTACCCAGCTTCAATAGTTATCCTGCATATGGCCCATTTTCCTTTATTTGTACCTTTTTTCTGTGTGCCTTCCAACCCAATTATTTAATTTATCTATAAATAGAGGAGTTTTCAAAAAGTTCTTTCCTCTAAGAGGTAAGGATTTTAGAAGAAAATAGAACCATAATGCCATTATGCTACCTCAGATCATAGTAATTCTTTTATTTTTTTATGCAGGGTACATATATTATGTCTCATAAAGATTATTATTTTTTTTTACTACAAAATCACAGAAACATTTAACAAAGTAAAATACCAAAATAATGACATTTTGGTTTCTCGATATATCCTCCATCTAGGTCAATATGCTTTTTTTTAAAAAATTTTTTATTGTGAAGCATGTGTTTATAGTTTACATGGAAGAACATTAGCTTTATATTCATCTTATCTTATTTTGTTTCATTGCAATAATTACAGTCCCCTCCTTGCATCATCAAACAGCCAAAGGGTACACCTTCCAAGCCTGCCTCCCAGCCACCAGCACACAACCCCTTTCCCTCCCTGAGTCCAGAATCCTCAACCAACCCATCTCTCCAAGTCATCATCTCTGCCTCCATCTCTGATGTCACTGCTTCTCTGGGTAGGGTCCCGCACTCTGCTCCCTTCCCTTGATGGTCCCAGGGACCTCCTCTCCTGGACTGCAAAGTCAGCCACTCCCTTCCTTTTGTTACAAAACGTCTACCTGTACATTTTCAACCCTCATAGTTAGTCCTGATAACAATTATTCACTATTGTACCACAAGAGTCTTGTCCTCATCTCCATTCATCAATCTCGCCCAGGCAGATTGGAAACCACTCATTGGAAATTCTACCTTCCCCCGCACCCTCTGGAACTAGGCTCCCTCTTAAAAGCTTGTAAGTTAGTCACTTCTTACATTTGTAGGTCCCCCCCCCCCTTTTTTTTTTGGGTAGCCAATATCTTAAGTTGCCCATCTCTGTCAACCTTGTGTACCTCAGGAGTGGGAATGATCCTCGCTGTAAAGATTTGTTCCCTCTTTTGAACTACAGCATCCGTAAGTATAGGTCAAGTTCATCAAATTGTAGCCGGTTACCCTTTTTTTTTACCCCTCTTCTTTCTTCTTCTAGTCGAGTTCTGATCATCCAGCTATTGAAGCCAGGTCAAGTGGGTACTATCTGCAAGTATGGGTGTTCTTGTGCATCTCCCCTCACTTCATATCAGCTGGATGCTTCACTCTCCGCTCTAGTCCTCTGTGGCCTTGTCCCTGCCCCTGGGCCCAGGAGTCCCCAGGTCTCCTCATACTGCTGGCCAGCCAGGTCCCAATCCAGGTTAACAGGAGTCTATTGAATGTGGTCGGACTTAGCTCACAGTTTCATTATTGTTTTTCCCCTACTTCCCCTTATTGGTGATCAACATGGTCACCAGTCAGACCACATGCCTGCTCCTGTATTCCCCTTGAGCCTTAGTCTTGGAAGGGGGTTTGCCCTAAGGGCAAACTTGCCTTGATGGCTCCTGGGTGAAAAACTTGCTTGTTCTTGTAGCAGTCAGTTGGCCTGCCGTTCTTGTTTTTGTTTTTCTTGTGCCAGTCTTTCTTTCAAGAAATATCTTCTGTTCTTCTAGCCACTCCAGGCTGGTCTGCTTGTCCTTTCAAGTGGAAATTTCCCACCTCAGAAGATTCTGGATGGGGTTCAGGATTCCACCTATGGTTCATAAACATCTTTTTTTATAGTTGATTTATTTTAATTATGGTGTATGTGAAGTCCATATATTAATT